TGAGACCCTGCCTCAAAATCAAAAACATAAAGCACTGAGAATGTAGCTCAGTAGTAAAACGCCTCCTGGGTTCAATCCCCAGTATCACAACAAAAAAACATATCAGGACCTGAATCTCCAAGGTCCCAAGGGCTTCACTAACCACAGGTATAAAAGTCAACATCCTTGCAATGACCAACAGGACTCCACTCTTCTATCCTCCCTTTACCCCCACTTTACCTCCTACAATCCTCCTTTTGCCTTCTCTGCTCCAGCTTCACTGGCCTCTGGGCTGGTCCTTGAATATGCTAAGCAAGCTCTGCCTCAGGGCCTTTGCACCTGCCTCCCCCTGCCTAAAACACTGTACCCTCTACTTCTATTGCAGCTTGCTCCTCACCTTCCTCCTTCAGTTCTTTATTAAAAATGCCACCTTCTCAGGTGGGCTTCTCTAGCTACCATTACTAAAATTATACCCCCACATACTCACATTCTGGGTTATATTTTGTCCTCAGCACCTTCCACCACCAACACATCTGTAGAGTATTTCACTGCAGAATCATTACACCCTACTTTTTCACTCTGAAAATTAGTTTATAACCTTTCCTTGCAAAACTGTCTCATGGATGATTCTGTTCCTCACGTGACGTAAGAAGCAACTAGAGGGCTAGAGTTGTGGCTCAGTGGTAGACTTGCCTAGCACGCGTGAGGCACTGGGTCCGATCCTTAGAACCACATAAAAATAAACAAATAAAGGTATCGTGTCCACCTACAACTAAAAAGAGATTTAAAAAAAGAAGAAGAGCTGGGGTGTGGCTCAGTGGTAGAGGGCTTGCCTAGCGTGTGTGAGGCCGTGGGGAGGGAGGGAGGGAAGGAGGGAAGGAAGGAAGGAAGGAAGGAAGGAAGGTGCTGTGTCCATCTACAACTAAAAAAAAAAATTAAGAAAAAGAAGTAATTAGAGCCACACTATACTCCCCAGTGGCATATGACCATGCTTCAGTCTTCCTGCACCTAGAATTCCCCGGGCTCACTGCCTGTCATCTCTGTAGTCCCTCAGAGTGCCGCTTCTACACCAGTGGCCATAGGACTGCACCTTCAAGGGGGAAACTGAGGACAGTGGTGCAAAATCTCCACACAGGGAGGATGACCTTTTGCAACACTGCTGCAAATTTTCTCAACTGTAATATTAACTATATCGCACAAAATGAAACAATTAACCTGTTACCCTTTTTCCAAACCAGAAAAATGTTCACTAAATTGTCACAAAGCAGGGGCTGGGGATGTGGCTCAAGCGGTAGCGCGCTCGCCTGGTATGCGTGCGGCCCGGGTTCGATCCTCAGCACCACATACCAACAAAGATGTTGTGTCCGCCGAGAACTAAAATAAATAAATAAATTAAAAAAAAAATGATACCTGACCACCAGGTAAATGAAAACTCATTCCTATTTAAAAAAAAAAATAAATAAATTGTCACAAAGCTATGATATATGTCAATTTGGACTCTTCAATACTCCTGAATATAGGTTACTCAAAACTCTCTTCAAGAGTATTCCATGCATCCTAATCTTGCACCAAAGACAGTCTAATAGTACAATATTTTTAAGTAATACTTGAATAGTTTTATAGAAATTCACATAATAGACACATCTCACTTTAAAAAAAAAAAAAAAAAACTAGCAGAAAATCTTCAATGATACAGGACCAGTCTAACTCCACACCATGTACAACCCACAAGAATGGGATCTGTCCATATAGGTATGATATGTCAAAATATACCCTGCTGTATATACCCTAAAAAGAACAAAAACGATCTGCAATAATTACACGGCAAATTACAGTTACTTATTTAGTATATTGATGGTTTGTCTACTCCCACTAGAATGCAAGTCCTAAGAGGACAAGGATATTTTTTTCTTCTCATATGTATCACCATTCACCAAAACACTACCTAGCACATAGTATAGGCACGATAAATATTTGTTGAAGAAAAAAGATACACTAGAAAAAGTTTTACCAGTGAATGCTTTCAATTTTCCTAAGAGAATTTTCTTAGTTAAACCACTAAAATGTGAAAAGAGCATGTGGTGTAAAATAACACCACAGCCCCCCAACACACACATACACTGTCCATATGACCAGGCCCTTCTGACCTGAATGATCCTGGCAAAAGCTGCCATCTGCCCACTCCTTTCAAATTCACCACCATACCACCAACCACCAACCATCATCAACACCATTCTAGGCTTCCAGATTCATGTCTGGTCTAACACTGTGTTTCTTACTTCCAAGTTTTTCAATCCAATTTACAAGGACATCAACAAACTCTAGAAAGATCAGCCTGTGAAAGAGCAAGAACAATTTGTAATACAAAAATAACAGTGTATTTCTCCAGAAAAAGAATCCTCAAGGTCCAAAGAAACTGACTTGTCTTCAATCATGACAATCTTTCATCAATAGGTACAACAAAGAAGTGATTATTGATCCAGCTGTCAACAATTCAGTTTTTCTTTCAATTTTATTACAAAATAACACAAATTTGTTGTAAAAACATATTTGGAACATCACAAAAGTAAAAACTTTAAAATTTTCTCCATCCGGGTCATACTAGCCCGGTGCACTGGCGCACACCTATAATCCCAATAGCTCAGGAGGCTGAGGTAGGAGGATCTTGAGTTCAAAGCCAGCCTCAGCAACAGTGAGGTGCTAAGCAACTCAATGAGACCCTGTCTCTAAATAAAATACAAAATAGATCTGGGATGTGGCTCAGCAGTCAAGTGCCCCTGAGTTCAATACCTGGTACTCTCTCCAGGAAAAAAAAAAAGGGTCATACCATATGGATAGATCTCCAAATGCTTTCTTTCTACTTACCGTAAGCACAGATATCAATTCACTGTTAGTCCTTCAAAGTCTGCTTGTGTACCCTCTGAACAGACTTCCTGTGGTAATGGTTCCCAAACTTTAAAAAATATTTTTATATTTTTTTTAGTTGTAGATGGACACATTATCTTTATTTTATTTTTATGTGGTGCTGAAGATCGAACCCAGTACCTTCCACATGCTAGGAGAGCACTCTATCACTGGAGCTACAACCCCAGCCCCCAAACTTTTTAATCTCTGCTCTTGCTCCACTTTTGAAAATTACTGATGACCCCAAAGAACTTTAATTTATATGGATTATCTCATCAATACTTACCATCTTAGAAATTAAAACTAAAACTTAAAAATATACTTATTGATTTAAAAACAAATATTTTTATTATGTTTTCTCCCAGAAAGGCAAATTTCATGGGTAATAACAGATATTCTTTTCTGCTACACTGAAAACCTCTGTACATGGTGGTTTCTTAAAGGCTGGAGGCCAGGTAGAATCTGAAACCATATCGATAAACTTTTGTATTCTATGACATTAGAATCTCCTGGTTCACCTTGTACTTTGAATGGAGCTTCCACCTGTGCATGCTTCTATATCACATGTTGATCATTTAGAAAACACTGGTTCACTTATTTATGTAGATCTTTTAAGTTATAGCTTTCATTATAAAGTATCAAAATATCACAGCCGTAAATATTACACCAAGCTCTACATCACAGTGATATACAAAAGTTATCCAAAATCCTATTTCACTAGAAAGCTAACATTTTATAATTGGCAAAAAAAAAACAATAAGAAAGAAAAAAAATATATATATACACACACACACACACACACACTCCCGGTTGTTTTCCTTGAAAGGAAAGATCTTTTCTTTCAAGAAACACAACCGAGAGTATTTTTTTGTTTTGGTTTGTTTTTGCCAATGATAAAATTTTGGCTTTCCAGTGAGATTACTGGGTCACTGACATACAAATTCATCTAAAACTCTCCAAAAAGGCTGTGGCAATTTTCACTATCTAAGGCTGCATGAATGATCACCACTAGTTAAAATGTAAATATTTCCTTTTTCAATCCTGAATTTGAGAAGATCATATATTACCACATTTGCCTGCCTAAAATAATACTCAAGTAAATCCGATGTTTCAAGGTGAAGTAAAATCCAGATTAACTTAGATGAAGTGAATATTTTTGAATTTCAAAGTGCACACCATCTGCACACGCTGCACATCCACTCGTGGGACGGGTGGGCTCAATTCATACCTTAATACTAAGCAAAGCCTGAAAAATATCAGGCTGCAGCAGCACAAACACGACCCTAATTAACGGATCCTGGCTGGCCTCTTTACACATATCAGTTAAGCTGACCCTCAGCTTTAACTTCACACAGGATTCTTGGAAGTGAACAATGTAACATGTACTGTCAGCACTCAAATGCCAGCTATGTTCACAAAAGTGTCGAAGACAATCTTTATTGCCCAAATGTCATTCTAAACAGGGAGAGAGGAAGATGCAACATATCATCAGTGGGGAAAGAGTTACTCCTTATGGAAGGTAAAATAATTAGAAGATGTGTGTCCTCAATTCATCAGAAATGCTGCTTTCCAGTTCAATCTTTTCCACAGAGCACAAAAGTGAGTATTTTCAAATCCTACTTTTGATTGAAAAAAAACAAGGATACTAGTGTCAACTCGGATGTGGTTCTTAACTTTTTAGAACACAAACCACTTTAGGAATAGGATAAAAGCTCTCTACAGAAATAGTAGTAGAGGATTCATGCAGTTAGAGGAAGTCTGTGCCTTCAGTTAAAGCAAATGACAGAATTAGGAATCACAAGAAGCCACTTAAGACCAACCCTATCATGAAACTGAAGCCCTGGAACAGTAAAACGGCTTGTCCAAGGTCAACAGTGAACAAAAAGTTCAATCAATCAGGCAAGAAGTAAGCAACTCAAACAGATTTTTGAATAAAGCCCTAATTTTCTTATACAAAGAAAGTTTCTGTCGGCAACTAAGAGATAACTACAGTAACAAAAATGTTAAGTAGAACTGGAAGGAACTGACACAAGTACTGCTGTTTCAAAAACCTCCTTGACAGCCTAAGCTGAAGGTGTAAGGAAAAATATGACCAGAAATCTTGAAAAAGAACTCACCATGTTCCATAAAAACATTGCAGTGTGGACCCCCATGCCTTGATGAGTCCTTCTTCCCTGCTCCTTTGATAAAGTGCAGGGCAGGCAAACTTGGCCTTCGTTGGTCCCCAAGAACTTTTCCAGGCTGCTGCCCCATAAAGCAATGATAAGCACCCCTTTCCAGAAGAGGGTTCAAGATCTTCCAGAACGGTGAGTGGACTTAGAAGGAAAAGGATATATGCGTGGGATTTCACATTTACTGCATCTCCCCAAGTTAACTGAGGTCAATCACAGAAAGACACCTTCCGTGACAAAGGGGAGCGGACCTTTAGGTTGACAGATGTAAACAGGAGTTCCAATTATTTTCGCAGTTTAACTTGATTTTAAGTTTCTTGATTTTAAGTATGTTTCACAGGCTGAATAACAGTTTTTTTTTTTTTTCATCCCCAAGAAGAAAAATTTAAACACAAATATTCACAGGCGACGCTAGGTCAACAGTCCTACAGTCTTTTCCATTCACAAGTAAAAAGGATCGTCCTTGGATGCTACTTCCGAACTTTTCCTGTGGAAGTCACCAACCCCCTATCTTGGTTTCTCCATCTTCCAACAAATTTCCTGCCCCTCTTCCTTCCCTATCCTGCTCTCCGGGAAAGGGCACGGGTCACCCAGATTTCAGCGAGCTTGCCCTCCACTCTGACAAGAAGGAATGCATTGCCAGCAACTTTTAAGTCCGCTTTTTAAAAGGCCTGTGAAACCAATCCAGGCTTTTCCTTTGCATTGAAGTTTTTGGCTGCACTGGGACCGAGGGGGCCGAAGGTGACATTGGAAGAAGTCAGGGCATCAAGGCTCGCGGGAGCAACCTGGAGGACAGGAGAGAACGCCTGACAGTGGGCAGGGGCTCTCCTCCGGCGGGCGGGGGGCTCGGCGGCCGGGCGTGGGCCAGGGTGGCGGGGGCGAGCACCGGCTGCCGGGGCGGGGCACGGGCGGCTTACTCGGGGACGACGCTCCTCCACGCATCAAGCAAGAAGCCGGGTGTCCCCGGTCGGGGGCGAGTGAGACCACCCCGGCGTCCCGGCGCGGGAGCGGGCAGCACGGGCCGGAGGACGCGCGCGGCCCCAAGCCGGGGGCGGCCACGGGGGGAGGAGGCCCCGCCGCCGCGGCTGCCCCGATCCCGGGGTCTCTGCCCGAGACACCCCCTCCCCCGGCCCCGGACGTCGCCGCCGCCTCCGCCGCGCAGTCACATCCCCCGAGCTCCGCCGAGGCACAGCCTCCCCCCGCCGGTGGGGGCCGCGGACAAGGGAGGGGCTCCTCAGCCACAGGACCGGGAACCGGCTCCGGCTCCGGCGCCGCTCAGAGACAGACACCGACCCCCGCGGCCGCCATGATGGATTACGAGCCGCTCCACAACGAGGCCAGGCCCCGCCCTCCAGCCCCGCCCCCGGCGACTTGCGAAGCCCGCCACGCGAGGCCCGGGCGACCCTGGTGCCGCCTTCTGCGGACGCCGCCGCACCTTCTGCCGTAGTCTTGGTGCGGGTGAGAGTCCAGCCCCGCACGACCTTTTAATTTGGTTCTCCTGGGTGCAAGGTGAGCGGTAAGGAAGCGCCCGCCTCCTCCGCACTGCCATTGGTCCCTGGGAATCCGGGCCCCTCTCTTCCATCCCATTGGCCAGTGAGAGCAGCTGGACCGGCCCTGACAGCCAACCGCCTTCGGCGCGGCCGCGGGGCGTGCCGGGAGCTGTGGTTCCGCTGGGCGCCCGGCCCCCGCACAGACTCGGCCGGCCCTCGGCTCTCGGCTCCAGCGCTCCTGCCCCTCCCGCCAGGGAGCCGGTGGACTCGTTGGCCTCTCCCCTGGCTGGCCAGCTCTCCGGGCGCCCGAAGCTCGGCCGAAGAGCCAGAGCGAAGGGGAAACTGCGGATTGGATTTTCCCAAAACCGGAATTGGATTACTTCCTTGAGCCTCTTTTAAGGGAGAAAATTTGGCTTGATCCTTGAAATCCAAGCTATTTGGCCCCTTTCATCCCATTCACTCCCTAAAAAGCACCAATGTTGGAACTAGAGAAGAAATCCGACATGCTGCTAGCGAATTTAATGGTTTGTTTCTTTGAGGGATCAGGAGGCTGGCTTACTATAGCAACAGCATTTGTTCTGAGGGCGCGTCAGGTGCAATCGGATGTTTGCCAGAATCTCTAGAGTTTCGCAGGTGAACACGTATTTGCATGACATTCTTGCTTGTTAGACAACAAAATGCCCATATTAGGCTTTGCAGGCCTACAAGCTAGCTAACAACCTAAATACGCCAAACTCGCACCTGTCATAACCCATCTTCTGCGACTAAAAAGTCCTCATTCTTCACTCTCCATAGAGCAGCACCTAACTGGGATATACCCATTTCTGAGGGGACCCACTCATCACAGTGCCTCTCTACGCCCTGCAATATTGGCACTTTTCATCGACTGCATTCTCGTTTAGTACTCATGATAGCCCTGTGAGGGCTATCATGTAATATTATCCCCATTATACAGATGGGGAAACAGATTCAGAAAAGTGACTTACCCAAGGCACTTGGCTAATATGACAGGCATTACTTCAGCCCAGATTGGCCTTGCTCCAAAATACATGGTATTCCTACTATATCATCAGCCACCAAATTACTTTTCAGAAGTTTCTACTGATACCACAGGCACCACAGCTGCATTGAGTGCCAGTACATTCAGCTAAGCATTTTAGAAATATTTCTGCCACACTGAGACATGGCATTTACCATATACATATTTTTGTTAGTTGTCAATGGACCATGATTTTATTTTATATACAGTGCTGAAAATCAAACCCAGTGCCTCACACATGCTAGGTAAGTGCTCTACCATTGAGCCACCACCCCAGCCCCCCATAGCACTTACTCTTGATAATGGCACTTTGATTACTGAAGAGGAAAATATCCACTTGGAGATTCAATGGGAAACATGAAAAATTTGTGCCAGATTTAGAACTGGAATTCATAAATGCACGTCGATATAGCTTTGTGGCTCAGTGGTAGAGCACTTGCCTCGCACATATGAGGTACTGGATTTGATCCTCAGCACCATATAAAAAAATAAATAATAAAAACCTTAGTTCTCATCTATAGTATTTTTCTTCAAACTTCAATGCCTTTGTTCCTCTTGATTTATCTGTCTTATACTGATTGCTACTCCCAATTTTTCTTTGTGACATTTTCTACTTTTTTAAATTCCTATTCATGTTTTAATCACTTCCTCCACATCTGCATTCTTCACTCTCTGGTCTAGGTTAAAATTGGGAAATCAAATCAGAACTCTATAATATACATAGCTTACACTTAACAATTCATTTAACAAGTATTTACTGAGTACCTATTCTAAGTACTAGAATACAGCAATGGGGGGAAAAACACCTCCTTATTCTTGGGGAGCATACATGGGACAGGCAATATGCAAATAGGTAACAATTCAAATAAAAGATAACCTCAATGCTGGAAGTTAGACTTCTGGATTCATGACCTTTCAGTCAGTCCTACTTGTCCTCTGAAGGCCTGCTTTCTGATACCTCTAGGGCTTAAACGTGCTTGATTCAGTCACTCATGAACTTACTCAAGTCACCTTACTTCTCAGACTTCTTCACCTATAAGCAGGGTTCCTAGCTGTCTACTTCATAAAGTTATCATGCCAATCAGACCAGACTTTGGTTTTCCACAAAGCTGGAGATATGCTTCATGGTGGTCACAGTAGAGGTCACTACCCTTCATCTAAAGATTAGATTATCCCTAATCTCCATTCTTCACTTCCACTGTTTTGGGGATTTCAGGAGAGCCCCAAGCCAAGACTTTTTTTTTTTTTTTTCCTAAAGATGCACTGTACTCTTTCAATCCCTATAGAATGATACTTTTAAGGACTTAAAACTAGAATCCAGAGCCCAGCAAATGACCAATGTTGAATAAATCTCTCTAAGCTTGTTTCCATTAAAAGTGATTCAGCCGAGTCTAATTTTGTCTTCACTCTTGTAAAGCAAAACTCATTAAGTTTAAAAATTTCAGCTTATTCCATTTCTTACACCTACTGGAAATACACTTAACCAGGGCGCCCTCTAGTGGGCCATGGAAAGCAGGTAATCACCAGAAGGTGCTTTCAGACCTTGGTCAGCAGGAACTGGATGAAGAACCAGCATGGGTGAACCAGGTGAGGACAAACAAGCTTGCGGGACGCAGGCTCTGCTCTTTATCATTTCTGTCTCTCAAGTGGAAAATCTTAAAAACATGACAGGTGAGCCAACCTAATGATGCAGTGCTGCCTAAAGCTTATTCATTTGTCTGCACTTTCCTCAAAACAGGTGACACATGGGATAATGATTTTAAAAAGTTGTCAACTGAGTTATAAAGAACCATGTTATTTAATGAAAAAGAGCCAACTGTATTTCAGAGCTGTCCAAGGCAGTGTTTGGTTGGTTACTACCACTGAAACAGCCTAGGTTTGTTTTAATAGAAGTAGGGTAGAAAGGCCTCAGATGGAAGTTATGTCTGCTGAGCCCTCCTTCAGCTAGCTGCATTTAGCTAATTGTTACCCAGAAACCAACACTAGCACACTTACAACCATCAAAAAGTAGTTCACCACACATGTGGAATAAGACAGTACTTCCATATATAATGCCTTAAAAAATGTTTCTGAAAACCTAAATCAGGGCACCATTTTTAAATAGTCATCAGAAAAACAATGGATCGGAATTCTAATATTCCTCAGTGAGAACTTCACTATCTGGTTTTTATTTTTTAACCGTAAATTATTCAAAAATGAATGTGTCACTACTTCAGTTATAGGAGGAAAACAGCTTTGCTTTTCCAATCTCCATTTTCCTCACTTACTTTTCATGTTTATCAGAGCACCCAAAAGTAAGATGGGCCCAGAACATTCATTCTATTATTGGTAATAACTTCTTATAAACCCCCCTCAAAGGCAGGACAGGTTAAGTAAGGGACCTGGTGTCAACTCCTCACCTCTCAGTGGAAGGAACATATAGTGGGAAATGAGATTCTGGCTAAGCAAAAGGTGGCTGGGTGAACTTTATTCTTCCCTGACCATGGGCCTCACTTCACCACTGTATTCTTCACCAAACACTTGAACTTCAAAGGTGGAGTGGAGACCAGAACACACTACTTAGGGGTCAGGGGATGCTGTGTTTTCTAATGGGGTAATTTCAGGGGGCTTCGTGCCTTGTGAATGATGGTGAGTGGAAGACAAAGGATTCACCCAATTGTTCCAGGAGCCATTCGCCTCAACAGGATAAAAGACCTGAAACTACCTCTTTGCACTGGGACCTGGCCTGTCCAGCAATGTTCAGTTCCCGCCAGGCTGTCTCATAACAAGAGAGAGCAAGCTCAGGAGCTCTCCAGCCCCTCAACTGCAATGCAGATGAGTAACGAGTCTGTGGATCCTCCCTGGGCCACATGTGGGGACCTCACAGTGACTTGGCCCACCTTCAAGAGCCTCTCCTCATCCTTCCTGTTCTAAAAGCCTCTGGCGTGTTTCCAGCACAATCTCCTCCATGACTTCTGGCTTTAAGATGTCTTTGATCTGAGAAAGACAGAAAAAAGGTATGTGTTCTAAAAAGAAGCTAACCATTAAGCAGACCATCAAGCCATCCAAAACACGGGAACTAAGCATGGTTAACATAAAACTTCTGCACTCTGTTCCTTTACCAGAAACTCACTTGGTGCTATGGAATGTGATCTGCCAGAAGCAGCTTAAGAAATCAAGACTCCCTGGGACATGAGTGACAACGACAAAAATATTCTGACATTCACTTAAAAGATGAGTGCGGAAGCACAGGCCTATAATCCCAGCAACTCGGGAGGCTGAGGCCCTGAGCAACTGAACATGGCACTGTTTCAAAATTAAAAAGGGCTGGGGATGTAGCTCAGTGGTAAAGCGTCCTTGGGTTCAATTTCCAGTACCAAAAAAAAAAAAAAAGGTTAAGATTTGGGATGGGCAAGATGAAGTCAAGAGGATAGAGGTTTACTATCATAAGAGAGCCTCACCTGGCACCTCCATTCCAAACTCTTAGCCCATGAAAGATATTGCCAGTGTCTTTTTTTCATACCAGGGATTGAGCCAAGGAGCACTTAACCACTGAGCCACATTCCCAACCCTTTTTTAATTTCTTATTTTGAGACAGAGTCTCACTAAGTTGCTTAGAGCCTTAAGAGGGATCTGCCAGACACTCAGTAAGGCTGCCCCCCAGACCAGTCCTTACTGATGAGCATGGTAGAAGCACTGGGGACACTGAGGAAGCACCGTTGCAGCTCTCAGAGGAGTGAGGAAAAACGGAGCTCCGGTGGAGTACCTGATGCGAAAGGGATGCTTCATAGCAATACAGGATACTGGTGTCATACAGCATCATCCTCTGAGTTACCAAGGAGACAATGCAGTTCCGGAGCCGTGATATCACCTCTCGATCAGCAAGGGAGACAGGCTACAAGGGGTAAAAGAGGAAGTAAAGGGAAATACAAATTGGACCAAAACAGTGAAAAGTCCCAGTAAATTAGCAGAAAGGAGATCATGCGTGATTCAGCATTGCTCTGGGACTCCCCCAAGGAAGACGAAGAATGTGGCTTCTTTAATGGTTCTTTAGCTGTTACCCTGCACCTTTGCCCTATCACCCAGCAAAGATCAAACCAGTCATTGAATCTATCTCTTCAGAAAAGAGAAGTTAATTCAATGTTATGAACTGAATTTCCTAAATGGAAACTCAAACTCAGTCTTCAGCAATAACATGCAATCATGCACTGTACAGTGACACTTCAGTCATCAACATATCGCATATGACAGTCTCCCAAGATTAAACCACCTGGTAGTGCTGGAGCCATCTTAGTTTATAAGTACACAGTACAATGTTCCGACAATGACAGTCACCTAACACTGCATTTCTCAGAACAAAACACCATAGCTAAGCAGCATAAGAGTAATTTAAAAAGCAACAAAGCCAGGCGTGGTGGCACACACCTGTATTCTTAGCAACTCAGGAGGCTGAGGCAGGAGGATTGCAAGTTCAAAGCCAGCCTGAACAATTTAGCAAGACCATGTCTCAAAATAAAAAAATAAAAAGGCTGGAGAGGTAGCTCAGTGGGAAAGCGCCCAATACCACCCTAAAAAATAAGGCAATGAACTCTGCCACAAAAAACACAGCAGAGACCAAGCGTCCTCACCACCAACAGCAGCAATACGCTCACTCACCTCCAGGTTTGCAGTGAAGCCCCCTGCGTCCTCATCCTTGTGCTCAGGGGTTGGGTAGATCCAGATGAAGCCATTGTTACCCAGAATCACTGAGGCACCACACGGCAAGTCATGGAAGTGAGTCTTCTGCCGTTTCACCAGGGAGGGGGAAACCTGGACCAAAACACCCTGACCTAGCTAAAGAAAAAGATCACAGGGTAGGTCACTGTAGACCATCAGTGAGATGACTGAAAACAGATTACAGAACATACATCCCTGTTACATCCCAGTCAGCGTCCTTCATTAATAACTGCGGTCCTCTACGTGTATATACAGAGGCTATTTATATATTCCAAAGAAAGTAACTATTGATACTCTGTCACTTCCTTTTGTAGCAATCATCACATTCTAGTCTGGGGCAGGTGTGCTGGTTAAAGAAGCTAGAGCTGACTGGGATGCACTGAAGTCCCCCATTGCCCAGGACACTGTCCTGTTCCATGGCTCTAGCTTGATTCCAAACACCCATCCTGCCCATGAGATGTGCACCACTGAAGAGCTGGGTACAAACCCATGCCTGGTCCTGGCAGGCCAGCTCCAGATCCACATTCTGCAGCACACAGGCTTGTACAGGGTCCACCTCCTACTTCACGTACATGAGTGTGGGTGTCCAGACACATTAAGGGAAAGGGTTTTTCCTCCACTCAGAACCTGAACAGGTTCACCCAGATAAAGCCAAGAGACTTAATAAATCATAATGCATTTTAGGAAGTATGCATATGCTATCTCCAGGTGCAGTGGCAGACACCTATATCCCAGTGGTTTGGGAAACTAAGACACAAAGATCACAAGTTCAAAACCAGCCTTAGCAACTTAGCAAAACCCTGTCTCAAAAAATAAAAAGGACTGGAAATGTAGCTCAGGGATAAACTGTCCCTGGGTCAAATCCCCAGTATCCCAAAAAGTAAATAAAATAAACAATAGCTTCAAAAAAGTAACCTCATGCTGGGCATAGTAGTACATGCCTGCCTGTGACCCTAGGAGGGAGGTTCAAGTCTGAGGCCAGCCTCAGCAACTTAGTGAGACCCTGTGTCAAAATAAAAAATAAAAGGGCTCCAACTGTAACTCAGTGGTGGAGCATCCTGGGTTCAATCCCCACCCACTACCACAAATTATTGCAAAATAATAAATAATGTAGTCACATGTAAGAAAAATCATGAATTTCATTTAGAGTCTTTAAAGCAGTGAAATTTCATTTAGAGGGTCTATATAGAAGAAAAGCAGTAAAAATCCCTTTATTTGCTATCAGTGACATCCATTTCACTGCCTGGACTACTAGGTGCTGAGACCGCCCCTGTGCAGCAGGCTTCAGTCTCCCTTTGTTCTACAGACAGCCTCTTGGCCTGGCCCCAGTGCCACATTGCAGCATCCCTCAGAGGGGCAGAAGGGCTCTTTGGGTGGAAGAGGATAAAAGTCACCACCCTTGGGCTGGGGATGTGGCTCAAGCGGTAGCGCGCTTGCCTGGCACGCGTGCGGCCCGGGTTCGATCCTCAGCACCACATACAAAGATGTTGTGTCTGCCGAAAACTAAAAAATAAATATTTAAAAAAAAAAATTCTCTCTCTTTAAAAAAAAAGTCACCAACCTTTACAATGCCCCCAACCAATGAAAACCATCTTCTTCCCATGGAGCTCTGGGAACACCAGCAGAATATGGGATGCTAGTGGCTAGTGCATAATTACCTAGATTGGTTTGTTGGTTTGTTTTGTGTTTTGCAGTGCTAGAGATCAAACCCAGGACCTCACTTATACTATACAAAAGCACTCTACCACTGAGCTACACCCCCAGCCCCACCACCAGCGTTCTTTAGGTCAGCATGTCAGGGAGCTACAGAGATTTGGAAATGGATCTGAAGTCTCAGTCAGCTAACAGGAACGGCAAGAGCCTGACTTACCTTTCCATATTTCAGGCTCCTCGTATGCAGAGAGACAGCTCCATCAGAGAACACTGCCTGGACCTCAGCCTAGCCAGGGTAATCAAGGAACAAACAGAAGCCTCAGCTGCCCACTTTCATGTCACTGGTCTCCCTGGCCCCATGCCTCAATCTTTCCCTCCTATCACCAATAGTCCACCTCAGCTGTCTTGTTGAACCTAGAGGACTTCAATGTGACCTCACTTTCCTCTTGGCTGACGAGAACAAGAGTTATCTTGATATGAACAATATTTTTTTCAATTCCCCAAGATAAAAGTTAACACTAATAAGAAAACTTAAGGGGCTGGGGTTGTAGTTCAATGGTAGAGTGCTCTAGCTCATGTGAGGCCCTAGGTTTGATCCTCAGCACCACGTAAAAATAAATAAGCAAATGTATTGTGTTCATCTATAATAAAAAAATAAAGAAAGAAAGAAAACTTGAGTCTAGTATAGCATGGGCATCATGAGTTACAAGACCCAAAGAAATGAGCTGGCAGCAGGTATAAACAAGAGTTGGGAAAGACAGAGAAGCACCTCAGCAGACTTGACCCAGGACTCAGACCCCTGCAAGGATTCTAAGTTCCTCTGTCAGAAGCAACATAAGCCCCATGTCCAGCCTCACTGGAAAGCACCAGAGGGTGAAACACAAGGTACAGGATACACTGATAAGATCCCCTTCCTGCAAGAAACCTCTCATTGCAAGCTCATCTTCTGCAGATCTTCTCCTCTGAAATACACAAAGAAACAACCTGGTTACTTAAGCCAGATCCTGAGAAAGATCTCTCTCCATTGCTTCTTTCTCTTTCACTTCCTCTTGAGATCATTGAAGCCAACATGAGACTCAAACTCTAAGAACCATAGTAAGAGGAGGTAACTCAAGCCACTGGAGGGGAACAAGGGTGACATCATGATTCCCAGCTCCACTTCTCCTTCCTGCTTCCTTCTCCATCCTCTGAGTAACATTAAAGTTTCTTGTCTGATCTGTGAAACCCTCCCAAACTCGCCCAGCCTACTGCTTCCACTCAACCTCCATGATAGCTCCTGAGCTCCAGCAAGGCCTGAATATCTCCTGCTCGGCTGACTCTGCCCACACATTTCCTGTCACTCAGATTCCCTAAGCTCATTAAATTCTCTCCATCCTTCAAGGAGTAAGGCTAGTCCTTCCTGTGAGCTTCTCTCACTGGATTAATAACTCTGTACCACATCCTGCCAGGTGTGTGGGTCAGACCTCTCACACCCACACTCTTTAAGGAACTCAATTGTACTCCTTTTACCCTCCATCCTCCACAGGACCAGTGCGGTGAGCCTCCCTGTAAACTACGCTGGACTGACTGTGGTATTGTACAAAAGGCTGCAGCTTAGTGACTGAGATGTCTGAAATTAACCAAATGCCCTTTGATTCACAAAAACTAATCTAAAAACAACTTTACAAGGAATACCTTCACTGCAAAGCTAATACACCCAGAAAAATTATTAGCACCAAGATTTAAAAGCTTCTCTCTCCAGCCATCTCTTAGGATCCCACCCCATGGATGTTTCTGACTCTACCACAGACCAGTTGTTGCCTGTGTTGTAAGACCTGGGCCACCCTACACATGTGCCCAGGCAGCAAACTTCACAACAGAGCTCAGCGTTCAGCAAAGTTCTCCAGTGGGGCAAAAGACACCACAGCTCTCACAAGCCAACTGCACACCTCCAGGACCCAGCTGCAGCCCTTACCAGCTCTCCTCCAGGAAGATTCATGGATGAGAGAAGCAAAACTGAATCCAGCCTGGAGTTGGTCTCCACCTTCCACCTCTTCTGTTGAACCTACAAAAAAAGTTCCACACCTGGACACATACTCCAAGGGCAAGAGCTAGCCTCATAAGTGACCAATAATCCCAAATCTAACAAGCCACAGGTCACACGACAGCCAAATGCATTCACTACCCGACTCCTTAAATCACCAGCTGGCCTTCACTCTGATAAACTTTACCTCTGTGATTCTCCCCACTACAATGTCTCCTACTTCACCATTATACCTGAAAGATAAAACAAAAGGTCATTCATCAATAAACAGATTTTCACACAAGACTAAGCACCCTTTGAGATTCTGGTTAAACAAGGATGAGAGATTTGATTACGGGCCACATTTAGCAAATCCATAAATTATTATTTTCAGGAATTAATAACCGCAAATATCCCCACATATATAAATCTCCATTGACTATCCTTAAACAAACCACTCATTGGAAATAGTTCTGTTTGCCTAAGATCCCTATTTTGTTGGGTTACATGGCAGAGGAAAGCAAGGCATATTTTCCTGTAGAACAAAGGTGGGTTCTGCATTGGCCAAAGGAGGAGAAAGGAGATTTGAAAACAGGTCACTATCTGAAGGGCCCCATGCTCTCCATCTCCCCAGCCGCTGCCTGCACAACTCAGTCCTCTTTGCAATTTCCTCATCCTAGATTGTAAAGATGAAGTGCTCCAAACTAAGGCCCAGGCCTTAGATCACTTCTTATTTACTCAAGGTGAGCTCATCCAATGTAATGGTTTTAAAATACCCCTAAGAACCATAACACACCCCTGCATCCCAGATTCTATTCAACTGCTAGTTACCCACCATCACCACTTAGACACCTCATGGACATTTTCAAAGATAGCAAGGCTAAAACATGCTTTCTAGCGGTCCACTCCCCTCTTCCATAGCAAGCTGCTCCCCTCCCAGTCATTCCCAGCTCAGTAAACAGTGGTTCTGTACCTCAGGTTGCTCAGGCCTAAATCCTTGGAGAGTCATCCTTGATTTTTCTGTTTCTCACACTGATACATCCAGCAGCAAATTCTGCTGACTCTACCCTTAAAATGTATCCAAGAAATAAAGGGCATCTGAATGGAAAAGGAAGATGTAAAACCATCTCCATTCCCAGATGACACTTGGTCCTAAAAACAGGTAATCCCAAAGAACTGGGATCCAATACCCTTTCATGATAAAACTAAACCTCAGAAAACAAATACATGCAGAATCTAATCACAACTCCCCACTTTTTGATATTCTAATCCGAGTTGTCCTCACTTTAGATGATAAGGATGATCCCCTACTCCATCTTCCTAAATCCCTTCCTATCCCCCTTCAATGTCCCCATAGCAGCCAGAGTGATCTGATTAAAACCTAAGTCAAGCTGGGTGCATACCTGTAGTTCCAGATACTCTGAAGGTGGGTGAACTGCTTGAGCCTACAAATTCAAAACCAGCCTGGGTAACAAAGCAAGACCCTGTCTCAAAGAACCTAGGTCAGATCAGAACTCTCCTCAGCTGCACCCCTTCTAGTGGCTTCCCAGAGTGGAAGATTAAAAGATTAAATGACCACCAGGCAGGTCAACCTTGCATTCCCCTCAGTCCCTGCTTTCCTCCTTGTTCATTCGGTTCCAACCCCACTGGCTTCCCTTTTGGGAAGGCTTTATTGACCACTTACAACTATGCAGCCCTGTGCTAATACTTTAAATGTACCGTCTCACTGAATTCTCAGAAAAATCTTTTTGTAGGTCATGCTATTATTTCTTATCTTTACATTGCAAGGCTTGGAGAGGTCAGATGACATAGAGAAACCTTTGAAGCCTGCATTAATCTCTACTACCATTCTTATAGTCACATTGAAAACTGCAGATCTGTAGCAGCGTAGGGCGAGTGAGTGGCGCTTGGAAGATAAGGGGTGGCAGAAAAGACCTAGTTGTACAGTATGGATGCTGCAACAAATACACACCTTCTGTTCTCACCTGGTGTTCAGAGCTTTCACACAGATCAACTTGTTTACTCTCTCCACAGAGCCAGCCACAGATGCAATAAGTTTCTCTTCTCCCATATATGTTCCATGGCCCCTGTTGCAAGACAAGGAAACAAAGAAAGTATACCAGTTTAACACCTGAAGTGATCTCTCCCCTCAAGAACAATGTGTCCAACAGGCTCCTCCTGGCCCAGAGCCTCCAGAAAGCTACCTGGACATCTGCACCTTACATGTGCTCAGCTGTCACCTTCTCCAGCAGGCTTACCTTCACTACCCCATTTAAAATATACTGCCACCATCCCATCAAATTCCCAGCCTCATTCCACTCACTTTTCCCCCCACTGCATCTATCACCAAACATTCTGAATAACTAACTTGATGCATTTATTGTTTATTATCTGTCTCTCCCTGTTAGAACATAAGACTCCACGAGGACAGCGGTTTTTTCCACTTTGTTCACTATGACCCCAACCACACAGAACATAAATGTATGTTGAACATATGAGGAAATGAATCCCAAGAATTTCTAAAACTAAAAGTTTAAAGGCAATGCTATAAATGAGGTACCCCTCCTTATATATTCATGATGTAAAGGTAGGTTTTGTTTCTTTTCTTACATTGCTATTTCATTTAATCCTCACTACCCTACTAAATAGTTACTGTTATCAATATCTTACAGAAACTCAGGTTGGAGAGGTAACACCACGGGAACCGGCTGCTGACTCAAGAGCCTGCCCTCCCAACTACCACACGCAAAGTCGGTGTAGTTGGGTGCAGCTAGCACCGAGTATCTGTCCGCCCCAAGCCCAAACAATTACTGATTCCAAAGCAAAAACCCCGGCTCCGAGGTGTCACTGAAGGGGCAGTCCAGGCCAAGAGGGCCCAAAGTTCCCTCAGACAGGGACACTGTAGGGGGCCCTGCTCCGAATCTTCCCCATTCCCCTCTCCTGATGAAGGCTCGAAGATCTGGTCTCCAGGCAGAGGATCCCAAAGTCATGGTCGCCAGAGCTCGGGAGGAGGGCTGGGGGCTGAGGCTACTCAGGCCGGGACACACAAGATGCAGAGAGTAAGGAGCACCAGGTTCGGAAACCAGGTGACTGGGATGCTCCGGAGCGGCGCCGCCAGAGGGTTCCACGTGCCGGGACGGGAGGCCACGTGCAGAGCCCTGCTGCAGCCCCGGACCCCCAAGTCCCCACGTACCGCATGAAGCCCGTGTCCGTGGTGATCGTGTCCCCCGGCACCACCAGGTGTTTCTTAGTATCGCGACCAAGGCTCTCACTGAGGGGCTTGCGAGCTACCGGGAGCCTCATCTCCATCGCCATCTTGGCGCCAATGACTTGCGCAGGCGCAGCTCGGTCGCGAGCCGCAATACTCCGCTCCGCTATTCCCTCGGACGCTCAGAGGGGCGGGGCTTCACGGCTGTGGCAAATGGGAATACACGTTCGGGCGGCCATGTTGACTATTGGCCACTTTAGGTTAACTTGAAGGGAATCAGGGAGCCGAGTTGCCATGTTTACTACTGGCAAGGAAGTACCTGTAGAATTAAAAAAAATAAAATAAAATCTCAGATTAGGTGACGTATGAGTTTTTACCCACGCTGTCTCACATCCATCGTCCTATGTATTGTTTGCCAGGGTTAGAGATTATTGAGAAATAGTCTTCTGAGTTTTCCGACAACTCCGTTGCTATATTCTGATACAGGAAGGCTCTGGAGGACCGGGAGGTGGGACCTACCGAAAACACCCTCTGAACCGAAAGCCCATTGCACAACCATTCCGAGTAGCCCCGTTGTCCGCATTCCAGCCACCCGTGGGTGTTCAGCCGTCGCCGACACCCCCCGACAGCGCTCCGATCCCTCTCATTGCGCTGTCCTTTGCTAACGACCTCTCCGGAGTGAGCCGGCTTACTCCAACGTGGTGTAAGAAGGTCGGCCAGATCCTGCAAGGCAGGTGCATGAGGGGGGAGGGTAACCCTTGCTTGCATTTACTCACACAGCAATCGGGGCGCTTTCCGTGCTCGCAGCACCCTTCAGGATTCAGCGTGGAAGTGCACATGTCCCTGGCTTCATCTGCGGCTCCTATTTAGCAGGAAAGATCCTCTGGTTCCTTCTCCTGACCTCTTACTATCCTCTGCCTTCCCCTTCCCTGCAAGGTTTACAGAAAACTGAACTTCAACCTCAGGGGATCGGAGAGATTTCTCTCCAGGGACTCTAAAGAGGATTAAACGAAACAGCTTGCATGAGCCACACACTCCCACGCTGAGGACAGGAAATCAGGCACATCAAGCCCATCATGTCCTGAAGATTCATCAGACCAATAAATCTCCACAAGGACAGCATTTCCTTCACCTAAGCAAGGCTCACAACTACACTTGTGAAGAAAGCCAACCCTGCCAGGCAGTAGACGACATAAATGCTAGTGCCCGAGTGAGCAGACACACCATCCTTCCCTGTCTAGAAGACAGTAGAGCCAAGAAAGTGCAAGAACCACCCATCTGTTGCGTCTGGCTATGGCCATAAGAGGGCGATGGTGTCCTTTGAACCAACACAGGCCTGGCAATTCAAGGAATGAGGGGTGTAGTCCTGGAATCATCCCAGAGAGAGAGATTTAACCTTAACCCCTCCCACAGCACTCACATTCCCGAGCCTATCACGAAGCATTGTGATAGGCATTGTGGATAGGAATGGTGGATACCTGTTTATCCTGGAGGCAATGGAGCCCCCCCTCCAAAGGACTAGAATTCATAGTGGCCTGATGCTTGTTCCAACCACTCCTGCGTTCCCCCAAAGCCTGCACCTTTACCAAACGTGTCCTGGGTGCCTTGCTGGCCCTTTGCTGAGTGCTTTACAAACATGGGGTTATTTATTCCTCAAAGTTGACCCCTCTAGAAGGCACATCTGGCTATTCTTGATGATAGTTTGGGGCCCCTGAGTTCCTAAAACAAACTTGCAGCTAGGACTAGAATCCAAGACTCTGGATTCACCACCACTACCACCACCACACACACAACTCATCCCTGCTTCACCATGCAGAGGAGTGGGCACCAGAAACAGCTGGACCACCCTGGGTGATTTGTGAAGCATACAGATTTCTAAGGCCAGATTCAGGTATTGAGTCTCTGCAAAGGTAGGGTTCAGAAGTCTGTGTGTGTTTCAACACTCGGTGTGATTTCAATGACAGGTAAGGTCCAACGTCCACCAATTCCTCCCAGATCTGTGTGCCTCCACAAGCTGATCGAAGTTGCCTTTCACCAGGACAACTCTAACAACCTCCTCTCTTACCTCCCTAACTTTGCATTACACACACACACACACACACACACACAACAGCAACTAGAGGGAGCTTTTAAAAACAGATCACATTAAATCACTTCCCTGCTTAAAACACTTCTGGCAACTTCCCTTTACACTAAGAATAAAATCCAAACTCATCACTGAGGCCCCTGCCTGTCTCTGACTTCACTCTCCTCCTGAACCGTTGCCATGACTCACTGGGTTGCAGCCAGATCCATGGGCCTTCCCTTGGTCCCTTGAACAACACACTCATCACCACCCCAGGATCAGTTTGCTTTTGGCTCTTTCTCCCAGGTCTTTGTGTGGTCAATACCTTCTCCTCACTCATACCTTGTTCAAATATTCCCTCCCCAGAGAAGAAGTCCCTGGCTTCCTTATCTGGAAAACACTCCAATCCCTTCTTTTTTTTTTTTTTTAATTTTTAACATTTATTTATTTATTTATTTTAGTTTTTGGTGGACACAACATCTTTGTTTGTATGTGGTGCTGAGGATCGAACCCAGGCTGCACGCATGCCAGGCGAGCGCGCTACTGCTTGAGCCACATCCCCAGCCCCTCCAATCCCTTCTTGACCCTGTTGTATTTCACATCACTGGGGTTCTCTTGTTTACCTGTTTGTTTATAACAATCTCCCAAACCCCTCCTCCCATCAGAAATAGGGACCATTCCTGAAACCAGGACTTAGACTATTTGGTTCAGCCCTAAATATCACATAAGGCAGAGAGAGAGCAGCCATAAAATATTTGTTGGAAAAATAAGATATATTAAGAAAACATGTTTGTTTATTTATTTGCTCATCTGTCTCCTCCACAGGTGGTGAGCCCCATGAATATCCAGGCTTGGTCTATTTGGTTTGCTGGCCAGTCTCCTGAACTGTACTTGATTTATGGTAGATGTTTGTATTAACCATGCCTTTGGTTTTTCATATTCTTGGAGCCTTACTGACCTTGCAGGATTGCCCCTCCCAGAGTTAACCCATTGCTAGGGACAGTAAAGACTCACCCTAGAGCATGTGTTTCCAGTGAAGCCCATTAGTGCAGAACCCACATCCATAACACCTCCTTTATTGGGCTCTCTCACTTGGGGCCACTATCCCCTGCCCCAGGGCCAGGTGACAGATAGCTAGGGACAGCCTCTTTGCCCCCAGAGCCTGTGGAAATTATCCAAACTAGCCAATCCTAAGCCTGCTCATCCTGCCTTGCCCATTCCTTCCCATGGAAAGCACCAAGATGGCTCTCACCCACATTCTCCCCTGGCTCCCTCTGCTTCCTGACCAGCCCCAGTATTTCTCCACGTGGGCCTGCATGTTCTGCCTCCTGTTTCTAGGGACATCTGGGTTATAACCAAGTTCTTTCTTCGTGACAGTCATTTTCATGCCTGCCTGTCTACAATTAATTGAAACAAATCCTGGGGACCCTTAAAACAGCCTTCAATAAATATTTGTTGAATGAATGAATAAATTTATTCAACAGATGTTTGCTGGGCACCCACTATGTACTGTGGGGTCACAGAGCTGGGTCATTTGCTACCCCAGCTGTCAGGGTGTTAAGATATTCAGAGAGGGGAAAGGAAGTGGGGGCGGGCAGAAAAGCTGCTATGACACTTGTCACTCACCAAAAGTTGCATTATATTAACAACAGCTCCCATTTATTATTTACTATGTGGAGAGCCATGTACTTTATTCATTTATATACATTATCCTGTCTAATCCTCATGATATCCTTAGGAATTAAGCATCATCCCACTTTCCATCTGAGAAGCGTGAGGCACACAGATGTTAATTGACTTGCCTAAGGTCACATGGCTAATGAATGGCAGAGCAGAGTTTCAAACCCACATCTTTGGCCTCTATTTAGGATCTTCTGTCACTAGAGGTCCTAAACCATGCAATAACGCAAGGGGGGAAAAAGGCATCCCAATGGGAAGGAAAGAGGCAAAAGCATGCTTGATTATTTATTTACAGACAATATGATCAGGTACAAAGCCCTAAGGAACATACAAGGACTCATGATGAATACCTGAGTCTTGCTAAATTGGAGGATACAAGGGCATTATACGCTGCTTCCTTGTGGGATATGCAGAATGCACTTTGGACTGAATCTTCAGACTGACTAGGAGGTGTTGTGGACAGACGGCTTCTGGAGTTAGACACCAGAGGTGAAACCTTGCTTGGCCATTCAGTGACTGAGTGCCAGGACATATGACTTATCCCTCCATGTCTCAATTTTCTTTTATTTCACATGGACATTAAATAAAAATGCATCCAGGAGAAAAGTGGGACAGTGGTAGTGCATGGGTATGTGGAGATCATTCACAGAATACATGTGTTTAAACACTATGCACAGAAATTGCTTCAAAGATTTGCCTGCCTTTGTCTGGAGGCCAGAGTTCTGCACTCCAGAAAGGCGCTTAAGGCTTCTGCTCGAATGCACAGCCCTCCTTCCAGTTTGAAGGCTCCTCAGAACCACGGTTCACAGCTTCTCATTCTTGTGTCCCAAATGCAAGCCCTGGCACACATAGCAGTACTCCTCTGGGCAGGCAGATCAGTCAGCATCCCTGAGGCATGGGATTGCAATTATGGCATATTGCCACCAGGTGGGTTCTGGAGCCTGGGCATGAACAAATTATCTATAAAGAACAAATTAGATTTTTGTTCAAAAGGCCCATTGCCTTCTTTGCCATCTGACTCCTGCAGGCCTTTCTTCAGGACTCTAGCATTACTTGCTGGGAGACCAACATGTGGGCCAGGAGGAAAGGGGACTCTGGACACATAAGATTTGATCTAGGGAACAAGAGAGCTGGGTGGGTACTGAAGTGCAAGAAGGGTAATGTAGGGTCCACCAGAGGCGTTGGAATCCTTCAAAGGGGAGGCAAGGTTTGGGAGGGAGGAGGGGAACCAAGGGTGACTCCTGCTGCTGAGCATAGGGAGCAAACCCATGATGGTATCTGCCTGTAGGCTTCTCTGCTTGTGCCCCTCCTCCAGGGTGCAAGATTAATCTCCCAAAGCTTTGGGAGGATTTGGGGCATACCCTCTGAACTTCCAAACAGGGACAGCCTCTGTGTGCTAGTGTGAATTCCCAAGCATCTGCAGGTGTGTGTAGCTATTCAGCAAGTGCACAAGTGAACAAGGAAGCAGAGAAGCATGCCCATGAGAAGCTTGACCACACCGTCGGTTGGAAGGGTGGCACACGCTGGAGAACAGACTCAGACTCACACTATCCAGCCTGCACACTCTCACTGACCAGGAAGTCCTGGATAGGAGAGCTGTGTCTAGCCCTATGTTGTCCATGAAGTCTCTCAGACCTAACCTGACAGCCTTCCTGCTCCCTGGTCTTCTTTTAAGTGGCTCTGATGCCGGGCACTTGGAAAGTCTAGGCGTTGGGAGGGCACTTGGTGGTCATTTTGGTCCACCCCATTGGTTCTCTGAACCCCTTCAATTTGGTCATAAAAATTAAAAAAAAAAAAGTGTTTGGGAAAATAATAAATGAGGTGAGTCAGCTGGAAGCCAAGAGAAATCTGCCAGGTCCCTTCTACGACTTCCAGATGTGCACTGGGGCCCTTCTCTTTGGGCTTTGCCCCTAGTGTGACACCAAGAGCACAATGGTGGATTACAGCCCCAGTAAGTGGAACAACCTCACCAACCCCCTTTCCAGCCTCTGAGCACTTTCTATATTTCCTTCTCATGAAGACAGAAGTAACCACCCACTCAGATGCCAGGTGATAAATGTTCCAAGTAATTTTTATTTTAGAATACAAGAGAGGTACAAATGTATTTACAGTTGTACATATACAATCAAATAATATATATCACAGTTTGTAAATATCATTTTAAGATAAATATTTACAAAGTTAAAGTGACCATTTTCTGGAATTAGAACACGGTTTATTGAAAACTCTATACACTTTATACTTTTCATTAATATTATTATAGGTTTTTTTTGTTGGTGGTGTTTTTTTTTTTTTTTTTTAATTTTACAAAACCCCCTACGGGAATTCTGCAAGGTGTGAGACGACACCAGAGGGCGCCCACGGCCAGAGCTGGAGAAAACATGGGCAGGTAGCAGGGAAAGTGTGGGCAGGCGGGGCGCAACCCCTGGGATCCGTCGCAGCTCAGAACTGCTTCACCCGCAGAGAAGTCAACCTAGTCAACGCAGTCTTGCCCTGC